AAACATCGTTCATTGTAATTTTCTAAGGGGATCCAGGACTTTGTTTTGTTTTGTTTTCGTTCTTCAGTTGAATTTCTTTCTCTTTTTTTCCGTCTTTCTTTCTTCTTCTTCTTTCTTTATTTTTCTTTCTTGCTCCCTTTTCCGTTTTATTAAGATGGAAAGACTTCTTGTACGCATCCATTGTGTGTATACATTACCTACTTATTTACTCATTCATATATTCAGCTATTTTGCATTCAAGAGCACGGTTTACTCACAATGGTCGCTCTTGTCTCTTCCCCCTGTCACGACACACAAAGAATGCATCACTTATCTGTTATTCGGAGTTTATATGAACCTAAGTGTGTTCAACAGACAAATCAGAACACGAACAACAGAGCTTTTACATATACAACCTACTGAACAAGACTAAGGATTATACAGTACTGATACATTTTCCTAATTTTGGCTTGAGCAACTCTTACTTCTTTACGTTGTAACAATTACAAAGTGGGGATAATTTATCACACTGTACATAGAGATAAGAATATAGTATCCTTATGCGAAGAAACATGTAAACAAATATCGTTGATAACTGCTTTAAACTTCTCGATAGCAGTTATGATCACATCCACGAAGATTATTTTGGGGTTAATGAGATCACATGAAGGGGTTAGGTCACTGAACAAAGATATTTCTCATATATACATACATACATATATATAGGGGTTGTTTGAAAAGTAATTTGATTAAATGATTATTTCTAGGTGGGAATGAAAAAAAATGATAAGGACATGTTACTATATGAACGAGAGAAAGGAATCGTTGTGTAAAAGCTGTAAGACCAACCACTTTATTCTTCCATAAAACAATGAGAAGCACCTGTTTTTTTTGTTGTTTTTTTGCGTTACGGTGAAACATGTCTTTAATGAAAGTCTGTCCATTGGCAAACTGAATCTGAATTCCATATTGAAATAACAAAAAGGGGAATAATAAAAAAATAAAGCACACAGCAACAACAACAGCAACAAAACAGTAACATAACCAATAAATTTTCGTCTTCAGTTGAATTTCTTTCTCTTTTTTCCGTCTTTCTTTCTTCTTCTTCTTTATCTTTCTTCTTCTCCCTTTCCGTTTTATTAAGATGGAAAGACTTCTTGTACGCATCCATTGTGTGTATATATTACCTACTTATTTACTCATTCATATATTCAGCTATTTTGCATTCAAGAGCACGGTTTACTCACAATGGTCGCTCTTGTCTCTTCCCCCTGTCACGACACACAAAGAATGCATCACTTATCTGTTATTCGGAGTTTATATGAACCTATGTGTGTTCAACAGACAAATCAGAACACGAACAACAGAGCTTTTACATATACAACCTACTGAACAAGACTAAGGATTATACAGTACTGATACATTTTCCTAATTTTGGCTTGAGCAACTCTTACTTCTTTACGTTGTAACAATTACAAAGTGGGGATAATTTATCACACTGTACATAGAGATAAGAATATAGTATCCTTATGCGAAGAAACATGTAAACAAATATCGTTGATAACTGCTTTAAACTTCTCGATAGCAGTTATGATCACATCCACGAAGATTATTTTGGGGTTAATGAGATCACATGAAGGGGTTAGGTCACTGAACAAAGATATTTCTCATATATACATACATACATATATATAGGGGTTGTTTGAAAAGTAATTTGATTAAATGATTATTTCTAGGTGGGTAGGAAAAAAATGATAAGGACATGTTACTATATTAACGAGAGAAAGGAATCGTTGTGTAAAAGCTGTAAGACCAACCACTTTATTCTTCCATAAAACAATGAGAAGCACCTGTTTTTTTTTTTGTTTTTTTGCGTTACGGTGAAACATGTCTTTAATGAAAGTCTGTCCATTGGCAAACTGAATCTGAATTCCATATTGAAATAACAAAAAGGGGAATAATAAAAAAATAAAGCACACAGCAACAACAACAGCAACAAAACAGTAAAATAACCAATAAAGAGAAAAAAATCTAAAAATATATCGTTCTGTCGACCACATTTTCGGTGCAGATAACGATAACCAAGGAGAGTCGTGGGCACTAGAAATTTTCTCTGTATCGATCACTAATTCAATCTGTTTACACATCATTCTTCCTATGTGTGTCTTTGTTCCTTTCCTAGCCTTCCAGATTCCTTTGACTTTTTGATAAAGTATATAGATATAAAGGAGAGGTAGATACATAGATTGATTGATTGATAACTAGCTAGATATATTGAGAAGAGTTAAATAGATAGATAGATTGATGGATAGATATACAAATAGAGAGAGAGAGAGAGAGAGAGAGAGAGAGAGAGAGAGAGAGAGAGAGAGAGAGAGAGAGAGAGAGAGAGAGAGAGAGAGACGGACAAAGAGAGAGAGAGAGAGACGGACAAGGAGAGAGAGAGAGAGAGACTCAGACACAGAGACACGCGGAAATTTGAATAGACAAACAGAAACAGAAAGACAGAAAAAGAGAGACA